AGTGAGCTATTGAAGGTTCAGTGGAGCTACACCTGAGTAGGTTATCCATGCCATACAGTAAAGGGTTGCGTGGAAGGGCCAGAGATAGAACCAACAGTCTGTCCCTTAGAGGTGGGACTCTCCATTCACTTGGAAAGTTTTTTTAAAGCAGAGGTTGGATGGCCATCTGCCAGAGATTCTTTAGCTTTGATTCCCGCATTTGCAAGGGGTTGGGACTATGATGGGACTTTAGGAGTCCCTTTCCAACTCTACAATTCTTTTTTGATTCTAGGAACAAGCACGACTTCTTCTAAAGGAACAGCCTGCCAAGAGTTAGAATTCGGACTGGAATCCCAAGGCTTGGTTCACCCACTATTTCAATGAGAAGCTCCTTTCACAAAAGCTCCTTCTATCAGCCCATCCTTCCAAATGGCCGGGACAGATCCCCACTCAGGGCATCACCCAACAAGGATTGAGATGCAACACCAAAAAGAGGGGCAAAGAGGGATGCAATTGCACAAAATCTTGGATGCACTAATTCACGATAGCTTGCAATGTATTTTACTGTGCTTTCGATGGAAATTAGAGTACATCTCACCCTGGCAGGAGTTTGGGGTCAGGCAACCTGTTGGGCCGTGCTTGGTCTGCTTATCCAAGTGCATAGATGTGATGGGCAACTTTCCAGCTCTCCTTTCTAAGTTTGCTATCTTTTCAAAGCAGATTTTGAATGGGACCGTTACAAAGCGGCTCGATTGCAAATGCGGCACAGAATCCGCTATCAGACCAACATTTGAGAAAGGGTGCCAGGTTCCAAGCCGCGGTCCTGTCTCGATTTCAAGGTGCTGCTCTGCCTCCATTGCAGTTCCCTGTCAGAAGAAAGGAGGCCTCTTGGAGAAGGAGGGGAAAGGGAGCCCCCCCTTGCTTGGCAGGATCTTTACGTCAGCAGCAGACTGGTCTGGGACTGAGCGCCTAATGGGAAACTGCCGCTTCATTTCTGCAGTGGAAGCGCACCACATGTTCAGGCCGGCTTCGCTCCCTTTGGACAGGTGAACCCGCCCCCTCCCCTGGAGCAGGTAGCTGGGCATGGGACACACCGCCAGACCACACACACCACCCAGGGACACCACAGAGGGGGAGAAGAGGAAGGCCTCCTGTTTCTCTGCGTTCCGGGGAGGAGGCAGCCCCGGCAGCAGAGGGCCAGGCAGCAAGGGAGGAGAGGTTGCCAAGGCCAATGGACTGCAAAATCCTTTGCGAAAGGAAGCTGTCCCTGTGCCGCCCACCTTGCCGTGCGTGGTCAAGGGGCCAGAGTCCACGGGAGCGAAGTCAGATCAAAAGAGGGTCCCACAAAAGACCCTCCTTCTCAAGCACCAGGGAGGCCTCCAAGGTGGGCTTGGGGTTGGCATCAAGACACGCTGGGTGTGTTTGCACGCCAGGGCAGAGAACACCCTTCCTGCCAGCAGAGGCAGAAAACGGCTCCTTTGGGCCTCTCAGATTTTTGGTCCCGGGCTTCATCGCAGAGCTTGGTTTTAAAAGGGGGTTGCTGGATTGGGCCCCCCAAGGCTGCTCCTTCTGGATGGGAAACTAGTCAGTAAGCCTTAACTATACCGGAGAAACAGCAATTTCTTTAGTTGAGAGGGGAAAGTCTTCTCTTCTGCACATGTCAGAGACATCTGTTCCTGTTTCTCAAGCTAAGCGGTTCTCGGATTTAAGCTCCCAAACGGCACCCCTGGCAGATGCCTCCAGTGGGGGGTGCTCATTAGATTTGTGGATTTAGTTTAACTCAGCCCCACAGGAGAGAAAAACAAGCACTGCTCAGGCCAAGACTGTCCCAGGAGGCCACGCATGGTTGGCACACTCCCGCAGGGGATGTTTTTTTGGTGCACGTCAAAATTAGCCTCTCAGCTGTTGCCAAGACTTCTCCCCCAAAAATGTCAAACCGCACCAGGCCAACAAATGCAGCATCCAGTCCAGCAGTTTTGCAAAACCCCTGTTATCAAAAAGACAAAACACCAGTGCCTGTCTTTGGGAGGAACATGCACTCAGACAACCAAACTTTCAGTTGCAGGAACCCTTCAAAGAATGTGGGTGGCTGCCCACCCCCACCTCCCCAATACGTTATATATAAATACGTTCTTAAATATTGGTCAGCCTGATAAGGATAAAGGATCCGGCCATCTGCCTCCAGAAATATTAGTGGACTGCCTCGCCTCCGCCATTGGTTCAGATTTGGCAACATGTTTCCTGGCCACACCAAAGTGCTCTCTTACCTCTTTGGGGCACTCCAGCCTTTAAGTCCCTCAGCTTTTAGTCACTAACCTCAGAGCCCCGCAGTGGCATGGGGCTGGAAGGATCAGGCTCCTTCTTTAGCATCCTTCTCTCTTTTCTCCGCTTCACAACCACTGAGCTCAAAAGGCAGCTGTCCCGTCTCCTTGGCTGCCAGCAGTTTGGCAGCTGGGTTTCCTGGGGACTGAGAGCGATGGCTGCTGGTTTAGCCCAAGTGGGCAGTGGACATCAGGGGCAGCCAGATCCTGTTTCCAGAAATATTCGGATGGTGGAGGATGAAGAAAAATCCAAAAAAATGTGCACATCGCAGAGCTGAGTCAAGCCAGGCCAGACTAGAAATACAGACCCCTTCGGTGGGTGGGGGGGGCTTCTGGCAAGGAGCAGTGCAGGAGGGATGCCAAGTATTTTCAGCCAGGCACCCAATATCCTGGTCCCAGGCTTCTTTGGGGAGAGGAGAGATACAGCCGTGACTACTTGAAACTAAACAAGCACATGCACAAGCCTGGCTAAGAACCAGTTTCCTTCAGAACCTCTAGGCTCCCAGTTTGGCAGAGCTCCAGGCAGTCCATTCTGGCCAGAAAGAAGAGACTCTGCCTGAAGTTTTGGCTTCCTGTTTCCTTCAAGGGGTTGAAGGGAGTTTCTGAACCTGTATTTTTTTTGGCAGTTTGTATATCATGGTTCCCTCTTAAAGAATAGATGTCGCTTGATAAGTGGTATGTTCTATGGCACGTCCCTTTGTTTGTCCTGCTCATAACCCTAAAGGGACTCAAGGAGGCAGGTGACTAGAGAGAGAATGTTGAGAGGATGTTTAACACTGTTTGGGGTCTCATCACCCACACTTGTAGGGATCAAGACATTTGCCCCCTTTTAATGGAACGGGAAGAAATTCACTTAGTCAGGACCTTTCGACTCTTAGCTCTGGCACAACCAGAACCTCTTAGAAGTTGAAATTAAAACCTGACCTACCCAATTCAGTTTGGGTGGGGGAATAGCAAGGAGGGCACCACAAATAAAATTTATGTCTGCAAGAGTCTAAGATAGGCTTCCTCAACCTCGGCCCTCCAGATGCTTTTGGCCTACAACTCCCATGAACCCTAGCCAGCAGGATTAGTGGTCAGGGATGATGGGAATTGTAGTCTCAAAACATCTGGAGGGCTGAGGTTGAGGAAGCCTATCTTAGACTCTTGCAGACATAAATTTTATTTGTGGTGCCCTCCTTGCTATTCCCCCACCCAAACTGAATTGGGTAGGTCAGGTTTTAATTTCAACAGTAATTGCCAGCTAAATGATGTTTGTTTTGGTGGGGTGGTCATAAGCCTCACTCATTAACTTCCCCCTTACACCAGATAATATAAGGAAAATGATATTAAGCCTCACTTAAGAAGCTGGCATAATAACCTTCCCATGCACAGACAGAAAGAAGTGGCACACAAGCCTTGAAAATATGTGGGGCAGGATAGGACCCAGAAGGATTTCAGGGTGACTGGAGACACTGGCTTTGGAGATGCTGTGTGCGTGAAATCCCAACACAGTTGATGATGTGGATACAAAAAACAGATGTCACATTCCTAACTTTCAACAGATGGGAAGAGGGAAGACCCTGGGCTGGCACAGGCTCTCTTTGGGGCATCTGGACCCAGAAGCCTTGCCTTCTTTTCCCACTCCCTAGATGCAGGATGGCTTCCTTCCCCAACACCCTTTCTCATCCCCTCATCCACTGCATTCCAGGCAACTTCCTGCCCAGCCCCCCCCCCCCCCCGGCCTGCAGGAAAACATCTGGCTCCAATTAGAGCAGCAGCAGGAGGAGAGGACGGGCTATTTTTATCAAGCCAAACTAGGGAGGAGTGGGATAAAGAGCAAAAGGAGCAGGGAGGAAGGGGTGTGTGCCTTGAGCCCTTTTTGTCCCAGGACCAATGACCCCAAATGTCCTACCAGGGGCCCAGATGCTGTCACGGGTGGGGTTTGTTTTCTTGGATGGAAGAATTGGTTCTGGCTCTCTCCCTAATTGCAAAACCATACCAACATCTTTAAGCATCTGATTTTCTAGCTGTGCTTGTCCCTGGCTCCCACTGCCCCATATCCCAGCCCAGTACAGATGTACTCTGCTCTCACTCTCACACCCCGCCCATCACCAGTGCTGTGTCTCTGGGGGAAAACATGCAGCTACTGGACAGAGGCTTTCACCCTGGGAAGCCAACCCCAACCTGACCCCCCCCCCCGCCTTCCACCAGCCTGTTACTGTTTTTCCAAGATTGAGTCAAGGGACAGGTGGGGGTGGGAGGAGGTTTGTGGGAACCAAGCAGAGGGCTCCCAAACAAGGAAGGTCAGTAAGAGCCTTCAAATAGCATGGGTACAAAAAACTCTTCTTCCAATAACACAGGGAAGGTCGGGTGCAGAGGAGAAGCAGCCTTTTTCAGGAAAAGACTAGACATCCTTCATGTTGGCTGGGCTCTGTGTGTGTAGATGGGGACAGAGAGAAAGTTAAAGGAAGTTATACTACCAAAATATGCTTGGAACATGGCCAAGAGTCTCTCAGACTCCCCCGCCCTCTCAAACCTCCCATCTGGCTCCTTCCTGTGCATTAGGGGGCTTAGAGAGAGAGGCATTGGCAAAGCATCTCAACCAAAAGAGGTTCCACCAGGGGCAGGGGAAAGCTAGCCTTCCCGCCTGCTTCCCCCATTTTCCTTGTTACCCAGGTAAAATTAGGCAGAGGACCAGAGGTGAGACCACAAGGCAAGTTGTGGAAAACTGGAATGATGTTTATGAAAGATAAGGCACATTTTTACACAAAAGTTTACCGGCCTGTTAAAAACCAAGGTCCTGTGTACAACATGGGTCTGTGCAAAGTTGAAAGAGTCCCCCTCTGGGGTACATGGGCACCAGGCACAAAGTCCCACAGGACCAGTGGGAAGGTTGCTAATCCCCCCCCCTTTTTCCATCAGGGAAAAGAGCCATAAAGGCCACTGGACAATGCTGCTGCTTGATAATACTCAGTCAAACCACACCCTGATTGTGGGATGAGAGGAGTCAGGCAGCAAAGGAAGTGCTGGGATCATCCCCAAGCTGCCTCCCTGCAGGATGCGCCCCAGTTGTGCATCAACCTGGCTGAAGGTGGGATGAGATGAAGTGCTGCACCCTGAGAATTCACTGGGAGTTTCCTGGTAGTGTGGAAAAATACTGAAGTTGGCACTTACCTGTTCCCTATGCAACTCCTTGAAATAATAAGCACCATTTGGGAGGGGTAGGAGAAAAAACAGGCTTCCAACACAGCCAGGAAAAAGGGAGATACAGAACTTTGTCACAGTTGATCTGTCTCCCTTGGTATGTGGTTGTGCACAGGTGGGTCGAAGGTCCTTGCAGTCTATTCCCTCCAACCCATCCCTTTAGAGGTACCTGGACAGGTGCAAGAAGACACCACCACCACCCCTGCTGCCACCACAATCCTCCCCAAGAGCACCATATTCCTTTTTTGCCTACTAAATCAGTTAAGCACAATGCAAGCCAGAGTCCTGCATGCAAGTACTGACTTTGGTCTGTTCAGGCTGGTGAACTGCAACCCCCGTACCTTTCTGTTACTGCAGTGGGCACTGCTACACCACTTTCCATGTTCCCTACACATGTCCATTGTGAAAATCAGGAATAGTCCTCACACATAAACAAAGGAACTGGCATTAGTTCTGTGTGCTCCTTTACTAGGCTTGCACTGCCTTCCCTCTCAAGTTCCCAGGAGGAAAAGGAGCAGAGTCCTTGAATTTGCTGTCCAACAGTTTAACTAACTCATCTTGGTCCTTCTTGCCATTTTATCACTGTCACTTGATCCTCTCTCACCCCTGTGCAATACCGGCTGCCTCTTATCTGGCATCAGGGCAGGTCTCGCAATGTTTGAGATACTGGCTGGGTGAAGTGATTAACCATAAATCCCTTGGGGTGAGACAAGGGGGTTCAAGAGTTCAGTAGCAGTCCACCCTGCCCGGATGAGGAATGTGACCATGGCCAACCATGGGTCAATAGTAATGGACTCTGCCAATGGTGCCAGTGCCTGTGCCCAGGATGTCAGGCTGCCCGTTGCGCCAGATCTCCCGGAGGATGCGTTCCCGCTCCTCCAGCCGCTGGGCACGCTCCAGCTCTTCCGCCGAGGCAAAGACGTTGACGGTGAGGGTCCCATCAGGGGTGGAGTGGGCCTCCAGCGGCAGCTCCGTCATAGCCAAGGGGGGCTCAGAAGCCGCTTGGTCAATGGTGTCTTCTTCCTCATCGTCATCATCCTCCTCGTCCTCATCTTCACTGAAGTCGCGTAGGCTTTTTCGGGGCTTGCGGGGGATGGCCTGAGGCTGCCATGAGATGTGGATGACCAGCAGGCAGAGGGTCAAGACAAGGCCAAAGCAGACCCCCAGCACGAAATAAAGGCCAAAGCTCTCAGGGTGATCTAGATGACAGAGACATGGAGGAGAGGGTCAGAAATAGGCTAGGAAAACCACCGAGGAGACTGGCTTTTGAGATTCAAATGGTAGTGAAGGGGACAGAAATGGTTAGGAGCTGGGGCTCCCACAGACTCTGTAGACATTAGGCGGTAAGAAACCGAGCTGATTTGCCATTTCTTTGTGGATGCTGGAATTTTAGTAGCCAAACACTGAAAGACACCAGAGATTTAAACTATTGTGCAGCTGGAGGTGAAGGGCTGTTCAGTACTAAATGCTTAAAACTTAGATAAATACTATGGTGGAGGGAAAGTAGAATGACGTATATAGAAAATATAGGGATACAGTTTCTTCTGTGTGAAATAAAGAAATGGCCTTTGAATAGCTGGGATGTAATGAGGGAATACGGAAGTGGGTACAGGAAGAAGGCAATTAATTTGACATGGTAGTCTTTCGCTGAGGTTTCTTAAATGGTTACCAGAGTATTATTTATTTATTTCACATTGTAAATGCTCAGTTTCAGGCGTTTGTGAATTGCACATCAAGGGATGGATAGCCTTCATCCTCAATGACACAGCTCTATACGAATTAGTTTATGAATGAATGAATGAATGAATGGAAGAGCACGGTGTTGAATGCCTCCCACTGTTTTCCATTATGAAGTCAAGGAGGTATCCTAAATCACACTGCACTGTATGGAGCAATATAACTTTTATAATGTTAAGTTGACCAAGAGGGTTCCTGAACTTGAAATGCAGTGGACTATATTGGCTTCTGGTCCATGGGGTCACGAAGAGTCGGACACGACTAAACGACTAAACAACAACAACAACATATTGGCTTCTGAGAGAAGAAATCCAAAGGCCGGTGGCTAAATTGGCTGGTCAGTTCATAAATGCAGGTAAACCAGACTCCCTTCTGGGGATGGGAAGGAAGGAGGTTGATCTGCCATTTTGAAACAGGAGGAAGATCCTCCATCCACATCCCAAGATAATGTGCTGAGGACGGATAGTGGGAACAAGATGCCACCTCTGGCCAAGTGCCAGAGACTGCCATTGCTCACATATATGTCCGCCCCTGCCCCCATTTCCTGACCCACCTCGGATGTGTGCATAGGCTGCTATACTGTTGCTCAGCAGCTCCATCTCCCGCTTGTGGGTCTCCATGGTGGCTCCTCAGTGGCACCTGGGAAGACAGGGAGGAGGGGTCGTTATTAGCATATTACTCCTGCCCAATTCCTTAGAATTAGGAGACATGGTTCATCTAATGATTCATTCAGACAGGAGGCAGCTCGACTGGAAAGAGGACTAAATGACAGAGGGTGTCCATGAAGAATTGAAGAGAACATTAGGCTAAGGGCCTTCAGAAAGAACACAGAGGACCTTCTGTCCTTGCTCCTTAGCAGGGATATTGATAGAATTGTTTGTGGTCTGAGATAGGACAGTGTCACCAATGGTCTTCAGAATCGTATTCACAAACATTGGCATCTCAAGATAGCGTTCTAGGTTTAGAGAGCAAACCTTTAATCACAAAAGAACAAGGAACTTAAAGGACTGGTTGGTCCACAGCGACTCTAATGTAAAATCCACAACAGTCCATTATCTTAGGAATATCTAAGCTCTCTGGCCACCATCCCTGCAGACACTGCATTCACTGTAATCATAGAAGTAAATTTTTCCAACAGTTTATACCAGCCAACATTTCTCCATGTGCAGTAGCATTTATGTAGTATATGCCATTTGGTGTGCATGCAGGAAACTGTATGTGGGTCAAACACAAAGACCATTACAAATGAGCACCTCAGTAACATGTGGGATAAAAACAAGGTACACCGCCCCCACTGTGAATCATTTCTTAGAACCAGGTCACATAAAGCTGAATGCACGCAAGTTAAACGCATGTGGGTTGCAGGTCTACTAAGATGCCTCCAACAAAGGAATTTCTCTAAAATGGGTCGGGCTTTTAATAAATTGATTGTGGCACTCCTGAGAACTCCTCTCTCTTGGTTTTGCTTATACTGTTGGGTGCACAGCCCCAGAACACTTAAGCTTAAAGGGCAAACAGCTGAGATAGTTTTAAATTGCCAAATAAAAGAAACCTTGGGGGCTTGACTGTGCCAAACAACTGCCCCCCCCCCCGGTTAATTAGCAAAACAGCTGCCTTGCTTCCCTCAGGCCCCCAGGCCAGTCATGGGGTTGCTGGACAGGACAGCCTCTCAGGCTACAAAGTCCTGTGACAGTCATCCCTCCCAGGGGGCCTCTTCCGACATGCGTCACACCCCACACCCCGGGCAAGCTTGGATGGAAGCATCTGTCAGTGACTCTGCAAGCTGAAAAGAGGGGCGCCAAAGGATACAAAGAATTTCCTGTGGCATTTAATCCTCTCAATGACCCAGGCCTTTGAGTTTCATGCCCGAACAGGGTTTGAACCCAAGTTTCTCCATACCCAAACCCAATGCATTATTTACACTGCCTTGTCATCCCCCGAGGCCCAATGTTTAATTTACGGTTGTGCATGACCCTGGGAACAGAGTCCCAGCAAATGTTTCCTCTCTTCCCCCATCCCTTAAGCCCCCCACCCCCAGGGCACTTCCTGCCACTGTCACAGGAAAAGATGCATCCTCAGTGGTGGGAAGATGGCTTGTTGTTTGGAGACCGGATGTTGCCTCTTCCTCTGCCCCCACCCAGCAACTGCCGCACTCAGGAGTCTTCCAGGTCAAGGCTATTTCTGGCAGGTTGAAAGGATGTTGCAAAGGGTCCAGAGGACACACTCCAGGGTGGACAGAACAAGGGCCAGGGAAGAAGCTGATAGTCATAGAATTGTAGATGCTGGAAGGAACCCCGAGTATAATCTAGTCCAACCCCTTGCAATGCAGGAATATGTGGCTGTTCCATACGGGGATCAAACCTGGAATCAGAGCAAAAAGGTCTTGGGGACAGAAGGACAGGTTGGGTCTGAGACTCTCAGGTTCAAACTACTTCTGAGTCAAAAGCTTTGAAGATTCTCAAGCTGCATGTGAACACAAATTTTCACCAATATTACTCCCCACAGCACTGACTCCTTAAACAGGGCCTTGGGCAAATAATTATTCCTGGCCCCCACTTCCACTGATTAATAGGTAGAAAGCACCCCCCATTCAGGACAACATGCTGGATTGGATGCCCCCTTGAGCAAGGAGCAGCTCACAGCCACCCATTTTCAGGAGCCACCCAGGCAGATGCCAGCCTCATCTGCAAACAGAACTCTCCCCCCTCACCCCACAAGCTTTTCATGAGTCCAAGATTTCCTAAAGCTCTGAGCGACCCTTTGATGAGAGCCAGGCAGCTGGGCTGGGCAGCAGGCCAGAGAAGAAAGAGGGGGTTGTTTTTGGGAAAAATTACCTCCTCTTCTGAACATGCTAAGGATAAACCATGCAAAGTTATGGGCCCCAAACATAACAACATAAGACCAGCCTGCGGGATCAGGCCCATGGCCCATCTAGTCCAGCATCCTGTTCTCACAGTAGCCAATCAGATGCCCTAAAGGGGAAACAGCAAGCAGGATTTTTCCAGTGGTTTCCAGCAACTGGTATTCAGAAGCGTTGCTGCCTCTGATTGGTTGTGGCTAGTAGTTATCATGGTTGTTAGTCATCAATAGCCCTCTCCTCCGTGTATTTGTCTAAACCGCTTTTAGAGTCATCTAGCTTGGTGACTAAGGGATGCAGGTGGTGCTGTGGGTTAAACCACAGAGCCTACGACTTGCCGATCAGAAGGTCGGCGGTTCGAATCCCCGCGACGGGGTGAGCTCCCATTACTCAGTCCCTGCTCCTGCCAACCTAGCAGTTCAAAAGCACGTCAAAGTTCAAGTAGATAAATAGGTACCGCTCCAGCGGGAAAGTAAACGGCGTTTCTGTGCGCTGCTCTGGTTCGCCAGATAAAGCAAGATGAGCGCCGCAACCCCAGAGTCGGCCACGACTGGACCTAATGGTCAGGGGTCCCTTTACCTTTACCTAGCTTGGTGACTACCACTGCCTTGTTGATCTGGGTTGTGAGTTTGGTCACTTCTGCTGGGAAGGAGAGCACCTCCTCCTGTTACTTCCCACTGTTCATCTCTACAAGGAATGCAGAGAAGGTCCTGCATCAGGGGTCTGTTCAGCTCCTACCAGACTGGCTAAGCAGTATTTCCACATAAGTCGGGGATAACAAATTGTAAGGGAGGGAACAAGGGGGTGTTGCTGCTAACTTTCAACAAAGGTAAGAACTGCCTGTTCTCATTTGTCTGTGATGTTGAAAAATACGCACAAACCCCTCGACCAACCCCATGGCAGTACAGCAGGGAAGGAATTGGGAAAACCACTTGCAAAAATATTTGTAAAACTCGGAAATGAAAATGAGACATTTGGGCACAGAGGATGAAGCCCTTAAAAAAATGCAGAAAAACAGACTTGTGCCATCTATCACTAACTGGAGTGCAACACACACATATTGGGGTGTGGGTAGGAAAGGGGTCCCCCCATGACCTGCATTTCATCTGTTTTAGCTAATAAGCAGAAATAAATGCTTCCATAATCTGATCAAAATAATTTGAGATAACGGAATAATTTTAAAAATAGAGATTTCTCTTATAAAACTAGTCTCACCAACAAAGCCCAGGTTCGTCCTATTTTTTTCAAATATCAAGCAGGGGAGAATAAAGAAAAAAGAAAGAAAAAGATTGCAGAGGAACCTTTTGTGAGTAGGGAAAGCAATTTAGAAGGTGCCTCAGATTCTCTCCCGCCCCCGCTGGTACTTTCTGGGGAACTCTCCTAGATGCTTTTTTTTCTGGAGGGTGAATGAATTTCAAAGGGGGACCAAGCAGTTCCTCCTCCAGTTGAGCCTGAAATTAAAATGGAAACTGGCTTGGCTTGGTTGGAGTCTCTCCTGTGCTGACCAAATTGCCCAATGATGCCTGGCCTGTTGCAGCAGGAAGCCAAGAGTGCAGGAATGCAGGGGAGGGAAGGAGGGGGCAGGGAGGAAGGGGAGCCAGCAGAAGCCAGAGAACAGACGCAGCTTCAGGCACAGTCCTGGTGCTCAATGTTGCTTTAAGCGCATCTCCGGGAATGTGCTAGCTAATAACAAAGGCAAGAATAACCAAAAGCATGCACAGAGAGCATCCCTCATATTGAGGAGACATTGCCTGCTATTTGGGGGAGAGCAAATCTAGAAAGTTAATTTTTCAATTTCAACCCTTAGGCTGTTTATGGGTTCTATATAACATCAAATTTTTAAAAAGGGTTTTAAAAGAGTTTGGGTGTTTTTTGGGGGGTGGGGGGAGACTTTGTGAATATGTTGCGGTGAACTGCAGCTTTGGCTGAAGACGTAATGTTAGTTAGGACTGGGAAAGGCTCCGTGAAATGGGATTTTCCACAGAGCATTAAAGATTTAGAAACAGATCTCACCCAGTAACAACAGGATATTAAGATGTCACTGGGGGACTTGACTGGAGATACAAGTCGTTGGCAAGACTCGGCTTAGAATTTAATAACAAATTCTGTCTCTGAGCATGGGCAGAGTGCTCTTGCATCCACAGCAAGCCCCCTCCCCCAATTTGGGATAAGAGAGGACCCTCCAAGGGCAGAGGTGATAGCTAGCCAGGTCTGCTTTGTGAAATTAAGAGCAGTTACCCCATCCATTGGTGAAAGTGAGCTATGAAGGTTCAGGAGCTACACCTGAGTAGGTTATCCATGCCACTACAGTAAAGGATGCGTGGAAGAGGCCAGAGATAGAACCAACAGTCTGTCCCTAGAGGTGGGGACTCTCCTTCACTGGAAGTTTTAAAGCAGAGGTTGGATGGCCATCTGCCAGAGATTCTTTAGCTGTGATTCCCGCATTGCAAGGGGTTGGACTAGATGACTCTTAGAGTCCCTTCCAACTCTACAATTCTTTGATTCTAGGAACAAGCACGACTTCTTCTAAAGGAACAGCTGCCAGAGTAGAATCGGACTGGAATCCCAAGGCTTGTTCACCCACTATTTCCACTGAGAAGCTCCTTCCACAAAGCTCCTTCTATCAGCCCATCCTTCCCAAATGGCACAGGGACAAGATCCCCACTCAGGCATCACCCAACAAGGATGAGATGCAACACCAAAAGAGGGGCAAAGAGGATGCAATTGCACAAAATTTGGATGCACTAATTCACGAAAGCTTGCAAGTATTTACTGTGCTTTCGATGGAAATAGAGTACATCTCACCCTGGCAGGGAAGTTTGTGGGTCAGGCAACCTGTGGCCCTGTGCTTGGTCTGCTATCCAAGTGCATAGATGTGGATGGGCAACTTCCAGCTCTCCTTTCTGAAAAGTTTGCTATCTTCAAAGCAGATTTGAATGGGACCGTTACAAAGCGGCTCATGCAAATAGCAGCCACAGAATCCAGCTATCAGACCAACATTGAGAAAGGGTGCCAGGCTTACCAAGCGCAGGGTCTGTCCGAATTCAAGGCTGCTGCTCTGCCTCCATTGCAGTCCCTGTCAGAAGAAAGGAGCCTCTGAGAAGGAGGGGAGAAAGGGAGCCCCCCCCTCTGCTTGAGCAGGATCTTACAGAGCAGCAGCAGACTGGCCTCTGGACTGAGCGCCTAATGGAAACTGCCGCTCACTTCCGTGCAGCTGGAAGCGCACAAATGTCAGGACCGGCCTGGCTCCCTTTGGACAGTGAACCCGCCCCCTCCCCTGGAGCAGGAAGCCTGGGCTGGACACACGGACCGACACACACACACCCAGGGACACACAGAGGGAGGAGAAGAGAAGGCCTCCTGTTTCTCTGCGTTCCGGGGAGGAGCAGCCCCCAGGCAGCAGAGGGCCAGGCAGCAAGGAGGAGAGGCTTGCAAGGGCCAATGGACTGCAAAATCCTTTGCGAAAGGAGCTGTCCCTGTGCCCGCCCACCTGCCGTGGTGGTCAAAGGGGCCCAGAGTCCACGGGAGGAAGTCAGGATCAAAAGAGGTCCACACAAAGGACCCTCTCTCTCCGCACCAGGGAGGCCTCCAAGGTTGGGCTTGGGTTGGCATCAAGACCCGCTGGGTGTGTTTGCACAGCCAGGGCAAGAGAAACACCCTCCTGCCAGCAGAGGCAGAAAACGGCTCCTTTGGGCCTCTCAGATTTGGTCCCGGGCTTCATCAGCAGAGCTTGGTTTTAAAAAGGAGGGGTGCTGGATGGGCCCCCCCAAGGCTGCCTCCTTCTGGATGGGAAACTAGTCAGTAAGCTTAACTATACCGGAGCAGCAATTTCTTAGTTTGAGAGGGGAAAGTCTCTCTCTGCACATGGCTCAGAGACACTCTGTTCCTGTTTCTCCAAGCTAAGCGGTTCTCGGATTAAGCTCCCAAAACGGCACCCTGGCAGCATGCCTCCAGTGGGAGGGGTGCTCATTAGATGTGGCATGTTAAGTTTAACTCAGCCCCACAGGAGAGAAAACAAGCACTGCAGCCAAGGCACTGGTCCCAGGAGGCCACGCTGGTTGGCACACCCCGCAAGGGATGTTTTTTTGGTGCACGTCAAAATAGCCTCTCCTGCTGTTGCCAAGACTTCTCCCCCAAAATGTCAAAACCGCACACAGGCCACAAATGCAGCATCCAGTTCCAGCAGGTTTTGCAAACCCTGTTATCAAAAAGACAAACACCAGGTGCCCTGTCTTAGGGAGAAACACTGCACTCAGACAACCAAACTTTCAGTGCAGGAACCCTTCCAAGAATGTGGGTGGCTGCCCACCCCCACCTCCCCAAATACGTTATATATAAATACGTTATAAATACTGGTCAGCCTGATAAGGAAAAGGATCCGGCCATCTGCTCCAGAAATATATAGTGACTGCTCGCCTCCGCCATTGGTTCAGATTTGGCACACATGTTTTCCTGGCACACCAAAGTGCTCTCATACCTCTGGGCACTCCAGCCTTTAAGTCCCTCAGCCTTTTAGTCACTAACCTCAGAGCCCCAGCAGTGGCAATGGGGCTGGGAAGGATCAGGCCTCCTCTAGCATCCTCTCTCTTTCTCCGCTTCACAACACTGAGCTCAAAAGCAGCTGTCCCGTCTCCTTGGCTGCAGCAAGTTTGGCAGCTGGAGTTTTCCTGGGACTGAGAGCGATGGCTGCTGAGTTTAGCCCAAGTGGGGCAGTGGACACAGGGGCAGCCAGATCCTGTTTTTTCCCAGAAATATCCGGATGGATGGAGGATGAAGAGAAAAATCCAAAAAATGTGACACATCAGCAGAGATGAGTCAAGCCAGGCCAGCAATAGAAAATACAGACCCCCTTCGGTGGGGTGGGGGGGCTTCTGGCAAGGAGCAGGAGGAGGGATGCCAAGTATTCAGCCACAGGAAATGGGGGGTGCTGGGGCCCCTCTCTTGTTTGTGGTGGTGGCGGAGGGGGGGGGCAGTCACTGCCTCAAGGAGTGGAGCTGTTCCCCCAGCCAGTTCAGTGGCTTCTCCCAATCTGTACTGATATGTCTGGCGGTATCTGTCCGACAAAGGGCTGGTTGGCTAGTCTGTTGGGGGGGGGAGGGAGGGAGGGAGAGAGGCAAGTCAATGAAGTGGCCAGGCTTGAGTGAGAGTTGACACTTCACTACCACAAAGAGGGGTGATGAGGTTGAAGCTGCCAGCCTTGAGGGGATTCTGCCATAGGCACATTATGAGTCCAGACTAGGGCCACTAAAATAATGTGAAGTGGCCCTAGGTTGACCCTTGCAACCTCTTCCACAATCTTCCCCTCCTCCCCTCAATGCAGCAGCTCAGTTCCTATAAGCTCCCACCATCCAGCGCCCCCCCCCATTCCCTGGTCTCCGCACAGCTCAAACATCTGGTTAATGATTAAAGCAAAGTCAAGAGGCTTGAAGTGCAGGGAGAGAGCAGTGGAGGGGGTGACTCAGGGTGCCAACTGTTCAGCTGCAAAGTGTAACTGTGCCTTTGTAACAGCACATTGGGTCGCAGACTTTAGCAGGTGAAAGGACAAATGGTCTCAGTGCTGTTGGAGGCACAAGAGCAAGGAAGTCCTGCATCTTCGTAGTCAGCTGGCAGGCTGGAGAGCTGGAGGAGGAAGCAGTTACAGGTGGAAAGAGAAACGGAGTCCCAAGACAAAGGGTGTGTGCTTGCAATAAGGCCACCGGCTGACGGTCATCCTGGGGTGCCCTTGGCTCATGCTTTCGTCTCTGCAGTATTCTTAGCTGGCTCCCGACTACTTAGGGGAGTCTGCAGCACTCTATATATGCATTATTGCAACTGCGGAAGAGCACCCAACGGGGGCAGCTAAGTCCATTTGGCCCCAGCCAGAGCCATGAACAAGAATGTTGCCTGGACTTTTCAGCAGCAATTCCTGGGCCTGCTGGGAATGTGCTAACAGGAATGGGCATTGCCATCATGCTCCAGTCCTCATTGCTGAGCCATGTGCTGCCAAGATGGCAGGAGAAAGCTTTCATGGCCCAAACCCAGGAAGCAACACTGTGCTTTGAAGAAGCCTAGCGCCCTGTGGACTTTATCTCATCTCTTTGACCCTAGCAGGCTTTAAAGGCAGGGCAAGGTGGAAGAAGGGTGTGGATTTGGACCTGGAGCCCCTTCTCAAGGCCTTCATCAGAGCCAGCTTCAGGTTTGCCTTGGGCAACAATGTCCTCTGATGGGCTTATCTGACTGCTGGGCAGTAAAATCTATGTACTTTTAAAATTTCACACAATACCCCAAAGCAACACTAGGCCAGGGGCATTGTTGGGAAATTTAAAAGCTGGATAGACCCCATTGCCATGCTCAGAGTGCTCCCCCACCCCATCAAAATTATAGGAGGTCCAGGGCAGGCATCAGCAGTGGACCATGCCAAAGTACTGCAATTCTGGAAGCTGCCCAAGGATGCTAGATGCTGACACAGAGTCTAGCATTCAGTGCTGGACACATGGAGTCAGCAGCCCCACTGTGGAGTCAGCAGTGGGATGGGGTGTCTACAAAGGCTAGCAAAATTCTAGGTTGCATCAGCACAATAGCATCCAGATCACAAGGAATGGTGCTGTTCCATTCTGCTGTGACCAGGCCTCATATGGAGAACAGTGTTAACTTCTGAGCACTGGAGCTTAAAAAGGCTATTGACACATTGGAATGTGTCCAGAGGTTGGGGTTGGGGTGGGCGAACAAGCAAACTAACACGGGGAGGGGCAAGAGGATCCCTTTCTTCCTAGGTCTTTAGGTTGAAGCAGCTGAGTATATTCAGCCTGAACAAGATATAATGACGACTACTTTCAAATATCTGAAGGGCTGTCACAGAAATGGGGCAAATCTATAGGACTCCTGAAACAACTGATTCAAATCACATGAAAAAGGATTTTGCCTTATTAGAAAGAACTTCCTGATAATGTGAGCTATTTGGAACAGGCTGTTTCAGAAGGTGGTGGACTCTCCTTTGTTAGAGGTTTTTAAGCAGAGGTTGGATGGGATGCTGAAGCAATGGGCGTCTTTGCGCCGAGCAGGGGTTTCAAGTGGACGAGCTTCAAGGTCTCTTCCAACTCTATGGTTCTGTGAAATAGCTATGGCGTCATTGACCACATGCAGAGGGACATTGCTGAGTAACTACAGTCAACTGCTACACATTTGAAAACAATGGCTCCCTAATTCCAAGGGTTAGAAGGGTTGCAGAAGTTAAGTAGGACCGGAGAGGAGGAAGGTGGCTAGCTTGTTCTCCGGCTGAATTCTAGCATCTGAGAGAACTCAAGTCTGTGCCCAAGACGCAAATTTGAGCACACTTGTACTGAGCTAACAGGCCCAGATAGGTTCCTCTCCCTACATACAAGCAAACAAACACATGAACACACAGAGAGCAGAATCGGGGTGGGGGGAGATTTCTCCGCTACCTTCCTTGTGAAACATGGTGGAGAACCTCAAGCTAAATAGCTTCCAAGCCAGACACAGAAGCCATTCCTCTTTCTCCAGTGAGCAAAGCGCTGGGTCGCCTGGATCCCTGGGTGGGAAGACACAGGGGATGGGGGTGGGGTGGGGGAAGGCTGCTCGCCATGGCATACTCACCGGGCACACAGAGAAGAGGGACGCAGGAGCACCAGGGGTGCCAGGAGGGAAAAATGGAGCCCCTCTGCCACGGAAGGACCCCCCTGCTCCGTCCTCTTGCTTGGGAATGAAAAGAGTCAGAGAGGCAAAGATGGGGTCTGTTTTTCATTAACGCTGCTGAGCAACAGGAAGTGGTTGAGAGGGGGCTGGCGGGTCAGAGCTCCCCCCCTTCCACCCACACAGAGGGAGCGAGAGAAGGGATGGCTGGATTATTTTGATGGCTAACCTGCTTCAGGTAGAACAAGCAAGGGAAGGCAGGTGCCGTCCCTTAAACAAAAATGGCCACTGGAGTACACAATGACAGTAATGAGTATTGAAATTCCATGTGGATGGGAGGGAAGGAGGATTAAATATTCCAGCTGGAATAGTTGGCATGTTAATTTATTTAAAGATATGCAGATTTGAGGAGCCTGTTGGTTTAACCTTAAGAAATAGAATAGGCTGAGAGGCGGGAGAACAAGAGACATGATCCCTAACAGGACAGAACAACAAGTCCTTCGTGGGCACAAACTGCAGCTCCCTTTGGCTACAAGGATCCAGCTCTTGAAGGTGTAAATCCAGAGACCGCATGGCTTTCACACATTCCCATATCTCCTGCTCTGGTGTTCATGGGCAGGCCTGCAAACAGCCCCTGTGTGTCCTGTGGAGTTTAAGGCTGGATCTGTGCCAGGGAATGACTCGAAATGGGGGACCCCTTTAGACCAGCTGACTCTCTGTTATCAGGGATGGAGAACCTCAAACCTGGGTCTGAATGTGGCTGGGAGTCTTTTGCAGGGCACACCCCTTCTCCCCAAGGCCACAGCCCTCATCTGCCTGGCTCAGCACCCTCCTCAACTGCTTTTGCCTGGCTAGAACGTGTCCACGAGCTGTGTGATCATGCCTCCTGCTTGCTTGGACAGAGGGAGAGGCGTGGGTGTGCAGGCATGCACCCACTCTGACCTGTGTGGCTAGAATGCAGGAAGTAGGAGTCACCTCAGCTGCTCCGCCCACTCTTGCCTCTGGCCCCGCCCACCACTGGCAGGTGACTCCCAGAAGACATGCTAAGACTAAACATAGCATGTTGGTCTGAAAATTCTCTCCTTTCATTCTTTCCGCTTCTCAACCATTTGCAGGTCCTGCCCAAGTGTTGCAGAGACCCCCACCCATTAATTCACCCCCTCCCCTACCTCATTTATCATCAGCTGCTCTCCCAACAAATTTAACCCAAATTACTAGATCTGGCCATTCCCTTCCCTTCTCACCGGTATCCTGCTGCTGCTGCTGCTCTCTTTTTCTGAGGCTGTTTCCTCCACAAGACTCTTATGTGTTCAATCACGTGCTACTTCTACTTGGGTCGAGGGAGAAGAATTTGTAGGCATTCGTCCAACCAGGGTTTAGAGGGTGCTCCTCAGTCCACTTCTATTACCTCAAAGGGCAGCTGTGCCAGCAGCACAGCCCATTTCTGTCCACCCAGTCCCACAGGGAAATGGGGCTGGAACTTAACCCTGCCTCCTTGCCTAGATGCCTTGTCCCCCAAATCCAGGGGGCAGGAGAGTGGGGCTGGGCTTATTGAGCTGTGAGAGAAAAGCATGCACTCGGGGTGGGTGTGTGGACACTGGCACTGGGAAGCAATGGCAAGTGGCGAGGAAAGGGCAATGCTGCGTCCTCAAGGGCTACCCCCAACCTCTGGAGAGCTCTCCCCAGCCACCCCTTGTGGGCTGGCTCCATCTCAATCACCTTCACTCCTGTACAAAAGAATTTCCAATTATGCTAAAATAGATCCCCAATTCCTCAGTTTGGCACAAAGTTGTACAAGCAATCTGCCAACCCCAAAACAAGTTTGGGACCAACTTGTTGGGTACACAGCCCTCCATCTGTCATTGTTTTGGGGTGGGGGTGCAAGACCCTCAGGGAAGCTGCTCAAGGAACATGGGAAGCCCCAATAGAAAAGCTCCTTTCTCCTTCCAGGTCTTGAACTGGGGAGTTGGGGGGAAAGTGCTGGCAGAGACTTTCCCACCCCAAATCTTCCTTTGCAGGAAGGCTGCTGCTGCAGTTGCAAAGGGTGGAGCTTCCAGGAGGGACTGAGGCCCAGTCAGGGCTGCATCCAGCGCCCAACCCTCAGGCGCCCTCTTGTGCCAAAAAGAGGGCCAGGCATTAACTCAGCAAAGGAAGAGCCCAGCCTGAGGCCCTTGCTTGCCCTCATATCCCTTTCAGGGGAGCAAGTGAAGGTGCCACACTGGGAGCCCCAGTCCTTCCACTGACATCTCCTCAGGCCCTCCTTGCAGCACCCAACAGCTGTGTAAGAATGCAAGAAGAGCCTGCTGGATCAGGCCAGTGGCCCACCTAGTTCAGCATCCCTCTTCTCCCAGTGACCAACCAGATGCCTGTGTGAAACAGGCAAACAGGACAAAGCACAAGAGTATTCTCCCCTCCTGTGGTTTCCAGCAACTGGTATTCAGAAGCATTGCTG